AGGTTCCTCTTAGCACACACCTGAATTGATTCCACAGAGGGATTCTGAAATAAGATCAAGAACTGCAGGAAATTAGGCAGAGGCCTTCATGTTGCCCAGCCCAATACAAAGCAATCGGGCAGACCTTTGTATGAGTTTCTGGAGCAGTGGCATCCTTGCTTTGCACCTTACTTTGGGCCAGGGAACAGAGTGAGCAGGTAGCAGAAGCTACAGAAGAACTTTCTTTGATCATTCAATCAATGGTCAAAGGTGCTCACCCACCCCTGAACAACTGCCTTCAAATCGAGTTGTTACAGGATTTCTGCAATGGTAGTATATTTGAGATGATTTTCTCACAGGAAATTGACAGTTCGTTGATAACAATGGTCAGTACTTTCCCCTTCAACATTCTTGACTTTGCTGTTTAGCACGTTATCTCCCAAAAGCAGTTGAATAATCTATTCTGCATTTGAAAAATAAAGAGAGCAGCCAGAACAACTTCATTAGATAACAAGGTAACCTGCCTTGACTGCTATCAGGAAACAAATCACTTCAGGAAAATAATCATCTTTTTTTCTCCCAGTTTCTAAAACGGTCATGTCTGTTAACAGCTTTGCATCAAAACCACAAGCCCCAAACACCAAACAGGCATGCCAGGTTTTGATTCATTTTACAATCAGACATGACAGAGCCATCTGCCAAGGTATTGTGCCTTCTATTTAAAGGGAAGTACACACATGACATCTGCAGCTGACATTATATTTATCTATCCAATTCACAGTTATGAGGATAGCCCCAGTGTGAAACTAGCTTATACCAAATTGGATATTAATTATTTTTGCCCAGACAGAATCTGACTGGCAATAGGTCTCCAAATTCTTAGCACTGGTCTGGCAATCCATGGCTTATGGCCTGCGTGCGGGCCCTGAGACCATTTTTGTGATCTCCAGAATCCTTCAAAAGCGCATTGCTGAACTTTAGTGACATGGCACTGAATTGCACGAGCAGTTTTCCCTCCATGGGAAATAAATGCATCAGTAGATAGATTTAATAGCCTATTAATGTTTAAAATAAACTGATCCCTCTCCCCCAAGTGCCTGCTCAAACTGGGCCTTTATATATATTATTTAAATCTGTGTTCAGTTTCAAACCATGCATTCCATACGTTTCAGTTGCCAAGAATGGTATCTATTCAGAGAACTGTGAAATATATTGGATGGATACAGTCTGGGCTGTACAAAATCTGAAATGAGAATCAAACCCTTCCAAATAGACATTTGCAAACATCAGCTTCTTGTAATGTCAATAATTTTGTTCATGGATTCTTCATAAATGATAGGAATGAATCATGCTCTTAAAGCCCAAGACAGCTGACTTTTTATTCCCAGGACTTCTGTACTTTCATCTACTGCCATCTTATAAAAACAGCATCATCTATACTTAAGGTCATTCAAAATAAAAAAATATAGATAAGAATATTTGTGAATTAAATTAGAAGTATTTTCCTGAGAGTTTCTTAGATAATGCTTATCTTGGAGCACAGTCTGAAAATCTTGCTGAAAACAGGGGACTTAGGATGGGGCAGTTTTGCTGCTCTGTCAGCAAAGAGAACATCAATAGAAGAGGAATCTGTCTGTCATACAGGACTCCAGTTTAAATCAATGCAGAAAGGTCTCTGACTCGGGAGCACCATGGACTGACTCCCATTGGCACTGAGTCTGTCTTCTGTGGCCTGTCAGTGGCACTCTTGGATCCAACAGACCCTAGTTTGATCCTGAAACTCTTCCAGGCTGAAGCTGATATCAATATTTTTCTCCACTTGTTTCAGTGAGAAGGAAAACAGCAAATATGAAAAGTAATTGGGGGAGGGAGGTAAAGTGGTAAAGTCAGAAGACCTTCCAATATCATACTCAGGTTTAACCATTTGCTATATATATATTTTTTTTTTTATTAATCTGCGCTCAGTCGTTACCGACTCTGCAGTGACTGCTTGGACGAG